ATTTTGGCGTATATACATACACATTGAGCTTTTTAAACAGAGAAATTCAACATCTCGTTTGACGTCAATTTTTATAATGAATTAAAATACATTGACATTGTGATTCAATTTCATGGATGCAAAGCATCAATTGTGATATCACATAATGTCTATATCATTATCTCGTGCTTTGAGTGCCCATCCTGTCCCACATCTGACGATAAGGGATAAAGCTCACGGCCGAGAATCTTTTCTCATGAGCAGGGGGGGGGGGGGGTTCGGACCCATGGCTGGCCAAGGCATTATGGACAATATGGTGACACTGGAGGTGGTCATTTACGACACGAGCGCGGTTGGCACGGGCATTATCATCTTGAAAGATGAAATGTCGACCCGCACGTTGAGCAAAGGGCAGAACTATCGGTGCCAGGAAGTGGTCACGGTAGTACACGCCAGTGACCCTTCCTTGAACAATATGCAAGTCCGTTCTTCCAGTCATGGTGATTCCTCCCCACACCATAACAGACCCACGCCCGAATCTGTCATGCTGTCTGACGTTAACGTTAGCATGACGCTCATTTACACGCCTCCAAACGCGAGCACGCCTATCGGTGAAATCCAGAGTAAATCTGGACTCATCTGAGAACATTACACGCGCCCATCGACGATTACCCCAATTTTTACGCTGCCTACACCATTGACGCATGTTTGCCGTGTGCTGGCGAGTTAATGGAGGCACAACACGCGGTCGTCGCACATGCAAATGGGCTGCATGTAGCCGATTTCTAATCGTTTGGGGTGTAACTCGAATTCCTGTAACTTGGTTTAAGTTTACAGAAAGCTGATTGTCCGTTTGTCCTCGGTTTCGCAGGACCTGTGTACGAATGTGTCGATCCTGAGCTTGTGTAGTGGCTCTAGGACGATCTGAACGAGGTCTATCATCAACATTGTGTGTTTGTTGGTACCGGTTCCACAGTCTGCTGAATTCAGGGCTGGGGTCATTACATTGCCAATGTAATTAATAACATTACCATTACCATTACTTTTTAAATGTAATCATTACAATTACTTTCTCATTTTTAGCAATGTAATTAATTACCATTACCCATTACGATGAAAGTAATTAATTAACATTACCCATTACATTGAAAGTAATTAATTACCATTACCCATTACTTTATGACTATATAAATAAAAAAACATTTTTCATAGAAATTAGCAGGACGGAGGGCCTGACAAGGACAGCTGTCTAGTCATTCGGATAAGACCAAAAACCCGTGTACACATTGGCGTGCACGTAAAAGATCCCTTGACAGTTGGAATTCGATATAAGAGTAGGCCGTAGTGCCGCTGTCCGGGCAAAATTTCCCTCATAGCACACTGTATGACGTATGCCCGTCTTCATTAGCCTAGGTTAGGAGCAGAACAGTAGGACGTTAAACCCCATTTCATTTCATATTGCAGGTCCACCGGTCAACTAGTGTTGAATGACATAGTACGTTAAACCCCATTTCATTTCATTTTCATAGAAATTAAAAAGACAACCTTATTTTTCTGCCATGAAGTACATACAAAATCAAACTCAAAATAATCCTTAATTCACTTAAATAGATAATTGTTTATGAATTATTATTTCTAGCAATTATAACATCAAGGCAAATTTTATAGTGACGGGCAGTGGTTTTTCTATAATATATTGTATAATAACTGGTAAATTATTCAACATGACTCTAAAACAAAATATATATTAGTTTTAAGTAACCATAAAATGATGATATACTTGAAGGTCATTGTTTGGTTTGTCACTTGTTACCTTGTGATTAAGATTAAAGTGCAGTAAGACTATTTATTGTCTTTTAATCTAACTGACTGATTGATTGATTAATTGACTGAGTGATTGGCTGCAAATTAGTACTAATCTTGATTATAATATACATCTTATCAGAAATCCACTTCTTAGGTTACATGTCTCAAAAAGGTTCCTACATAAAAAGTAATAAAATAAAAGGTTTAATGCCTTCTTATTTTGCTTATAATTTTTTTAAAAATGATTTAATGAATTGGATTTGTGTCAGATACACTTAATTACTTCTACGGTGCTATAAAATTTGAGGCTTGTCATATTGGAAATATTTATATATGCCATAAAATGTAATTGAAAAGTAATTGCAATGTAATTGACCATTACATGATTTTTGGAATGTAATTAATTACATTTCCATTACTCATTACTTTTGAAATCTTCCATTACTCATTACATGACCATTACTTAAAAAATGTAATGATTACATTCCATTAACATTACCCCAGCCCTGCTGCTGATCACAGACTGTCACACATTAAGCGTGTTGTCTACTGCTCGCTGCGTAGAACCCATTTGAAGCATGCCAATAGTACGTAGACGTTCATCATGTTGAAAACGTCTCATTGCAAATTAAACGTAACACACAAAAGCAAAGATGCGCTAAACAGTAAATCTTATGCAAGAACCGATAGGAAAGCAAACATGGATAGGATAAACCAGCACGCGGCAGTTTTCATCAACCCTTCCTTGAAGTGTCAAATTTGACAATGAACCCCTCCCACGTGTATGGCGCTATTGCGTGTCGCAGGTGCAGCTTCGTGGTTCTGTTGTGGCGATAAGTTCTTCATTTGTGAACATACTCTCAAAGCATGTCAAGTGTCCATGACTATTTATCATATCACAACCTACATAGGTATTTGCATTTCAATATCCCCTACTTTTTTGAAGAGTACATTTCATTATTATTAAGCTTTAGTATTTCATATGGAAGCCTATTGTTTCTATTAAGATTATTATTATTTTTTGGGTGTTTTCAGCAAATCGGATTTCTCAGAATCTGACCCTAGGATCTATCTTAAACTTTTACCTACCGCCCCCCCCCCCCCCAACAACAAAAAAAAAACAAAACAAAAAATCAAAAAAAACAAATGGGTAGTGAGTTTTTATAAATAATATTTTCAAAACTTTTTACGAATTCGAAATCACCGAATTTAACGAACGAAAAAAACGACAAACATAGCTGTAACTTTGTGACTATTTGACCTATTATCTTCTTTTTTCTTTGAGTACCTTGACAAAATTCATTTTCTCCTGCAATTCACGATTTTCGAATTTCGAAAATTCGTCGCTGTGACTTCTTCCCGGAAGTTGAGACCAACTTGACAACTTGCACGATTTTCAAGAAATTTGGAATGTAAGTAGATGCGACTTGAACGGTGTCGTTAGAAATTTTCTAACTTATGTCCCCTTGGAGAAATTAACGATAAAATTTCTCAAAGATATTGACAAAAAGTAGATCAGATTGCCTTGAATTATTTTCTGTACTAGCTAAGACATTAGCGTTCACAAAATATGAAGTCTGTCGATCTAACTGGAAGTGCCACCATCTTGAAACGTGAAAGGCTTTTTGCAATATTTTACTTACAGACATTTACTTACATTCTTTGAATCCTTGAAGAAATGACCCAAAAAAGTTCAGAGCATTAACGGGGGTGAAAAACACCAAAATAGACCGTAGTTTGTTGAATTGGTCTCCTAATTCCGAAATGAATACATTTCTGGAAATTTATAAATTTGACCTAAATTTTCTAACAGCTGATGTCAACCTGACTCCAAAAATATAAGTTCCATTCAAAGTTATCTCATTTAATTTTTCGATATTTTCTGCCATTTTTAAATTCTTTCCCGCCATTTTCATTTCATTTGTTAATTTTTCCTTAATTTTAAATTCCCGGTGCCGGTTTTACTGATAAGCTTGACTGCTCACAACAACCTTTTAACTTAGACCTGTCTGTATAAGAGTTTGTGTGGGGTGTACAATAATGATGACATAAAATCCTGTAAATTGACAAAATCATTATAGATGTTCATCAAAATCATACACCACTTAAATTACCAAGAGCCTGTTTAAATACAAGTCTATGTTATGCAGCATATGTTAAAGATACATTATGGGAGATTAGATAAAGAGCTGGCAGTTCTCACTATAATAGTTAAAATCTAGATAATATAAAGGGAATTTGCTGAAAATTTCAGTCAAAATGATCCACTCTGAACCGAGATTTTAGCCTCGATTATCATTACTGAAGTCGCTACGATAAAAAACATAGTCTCGATTATCCATTTCATGATTAAATTATGAATGAAATTCGAGCAGAAAATCGGAACCTAATCCAATAAATATCGCAGGCTAGCGATGCCATCGAGAGTTGATTATGGTCTGGATAAGTTAATTAATGTCTAATTAATAATTTAGTTAGGATTTCAGGCCTAAAGAAAGACCCGCAATAGGCTGATTTAGCTCTTGCATAATGTATGTTTAAATTACAACGTATGTATTATTTAACCTACAACTGTTAAGGAACGCATGATGTACACCTGTTAAATCAACAACTTCCAGTTTAAATACAAGTCTATTGTTAAATAATATGATATATTATATAATTTTATACAGTATATGTTTTTTAAGTGACGCTTAACATTGCATTGTTAAAATACAAACTAATGTAAAATTACGAGAAAAAATGGCAAATTTTCTGCCATGATTTTCTTGTTAAAAAACATAAAACCGTTTACAGTATGACCAACTATTTGCACATCCATGCACACACCAACCCCAACTTCGAACAAATGCAGATTTAATGTAGAAAAACACTGAAAATCGCAAAACATGAAACTGCTTAATCAATTTTTGATTATATTTCTCTAAAAAAAACCTGCATAAAACTCTGACCCTCGAAGGTCAGTAATTCGCATATCTGCCCTAATGGTTGTACCTAACTCGTTGTTAACTGGCTTTATATTTCTTAGCGTGACTGATAACTGAGTATTTCGTCTTGATTCGTCAAGTTTTGTTTGCTCAACTGAAAATAGTCTCCTACAACTTCTTTAAAATTCTACGCACAAGCGAGCACAAGTTCTTTGTCACGCCTCGCTAGTTTCATTTAGGTTTGTACACAAGGACTCTAGATCTATGCAGATAAATATTAAGCAGAGTGTGTCAGTTGGTGTTCGACCACAAAGCTGACATGGTGTACTTTTAACGTACTAAATATCTACCAAGATTTTGTTTCGAGTTTATTTTTTTAAGGAGTATTAGTTTATTTGATCAGAGTTCCAGGTAGGTGGTTTTGTCTGTATTTATTCTTATCAGCATCTGGGTCAAAAGCAGAATGTCTTGGATTTTAACAATTGTGCGTATTGTCGATTATAAGAATTAATTCGGGCATGTTTGATGTCTGATACCAATTAAATGTTTGAGATCCATAAATTCCGCCGAGTGATTTATTTATAGGTAACTAATTATATATACCATGATATTATGAACTAAGCCCTACGTATTGATGGACGTTTATCACGATGTGGGGCTATGTTTACTTTTCGAACACCCAAGAAGTGCATGTTTTAGACTTGTAAATTTTGTTCTGACAATTATGGTGATTCTTCAATTCTTTAATATAACGGAACATAAATATATACAAGGGCATACAGTATACTGACTAAACAACTACTGCACACAGTAACTATAACCTGTTGATCACTGTGCCATTTGGTATATTTAAGGAAGATCAGAAAAATTAAACCGAATATTGTAATTGAAACTAACATGTCAACAGATGAACAATACATAAAGGATTAAAAGATATTATACTGCAATAGCAAGAACAACAGAGATGAGATTAACGTAGTTGGCCGCGTCGGTTTGCAGCAAAGGGATGTTATGTAAACGACTTACTGCAGGACAATCAATATTAATCTTAAAGTTTAGATTGTCAACATTGAGAGAATTACTCTTCGAAACGTTGCTTAAATTTACAATGTAGCTGTTTTCAATAAATACATGTTATAGTTTATTACTCTATTAAATATCACTAAAAGATTATAATCATTGGCATCTAGTGATTGAACTGCAAATACACAGGATGCAATTTTGTGGAATATAATTTCTGATTAGTACTGATCGACAGTTCGAATAAACAACAGTCGTTATACATTAGCTGGTATCTCAGTCTATCGGCCATACAATAAGTAATTGATGTATACTAGGTGATGGGATGGGGGTCTTTTATTGCTTTCATTTTATTTGTAGGTGTATAATAAATCTCGTTATTCCTAAAGGTATTCTTTTGAAAACCATTAATAATCTGCAAACCCCCCCCAAAAAAAACAACAAAAGAACGAGAGAGAGAGAGAGAGAGATGGGTTTCAACGTCCACTCGACAGAAACTAGGTCCATTCGGGACTAATATATGGTTCAGTTTTATTTCAATAATTCACCTGAGCGTAGGGGTCCTTAGCAGTTGGAGGAAACCGGAGGATCCGGAGAAATTCCACGAAGTTGGACAGGCGACCCTACTTCTACAAGCGGAGAATCGGAACCACGCCACTTGACTCAATGTCAGACCTTATGATCTAAAGCGCACGCGTTACCCCTCCCCCCCCAATAATCATATTATGAGTTTAGGGTGTACACAAAGGGACAGTCTGGAATATTTGATTAAGATTTGAATGTTTTTAGACGCATAAATTAGTATTACAATAATTAGACGACCCCAAACTAGTAGTCGTTCTCATAGGACGATAAGCCTATGTGGCTATATAGTGTTGAGCGCTTATAACTGCCTTCACTTCTCTCTAAGACAAAGTGACTTTTTACCATTTTAATTTAAGTTTTAAGTGTCAAAGGTTATACCAAGATATTTACGAAGAACTGAGGATTTCATATGTGTGACTTGGATGGTAAAATTTCGTGTATTTTGGAAGATATTTGATGCTTTAAATTTTCTAAGCAGTTATTAGTGACCAATGAAGCATGAAATGGTTGTTCTTGGGCAGTTAAAATTTCTATGGTGTTTACTTCTCATGATATTAACTCACATAACCTACAAAAGGGATCAACTTTTATCTAAATGTTGCAGCAATATTTTAAGTAAAGCAGATTGTGATACCCTTAAAAATCTAACATGTGATATAATTAAACGTAAGAAAACTTCAAGGGGCTGTTCTTCAGGTAGAAATTTAATGAGAAAAATCAAGGCAGTGACTTCTATTAGATCTGATGATTGTTTCAGGACCATGAGTATTACAGTAAATTTTACAAACTTTTCTTATCACGGTCTCCTTGCTAAACGCTAGGTCGGTAAAAAACAAAACTATCGAACTGAATGATTTCGTATGTGAACATGACCTTGATATTTTGGCTGTCACTGAAACATGGCTAGGTTGTAATGATGTTGCCGTTTTATGCTCGTCAGACCCCAAAACAGACATCATATTCGTCATTTGAATATTTTGACTGTGTTGTCGGCTCGGTAAGCTCAGCGTTTCGTATTGTTGTTCTATACAAACCCCCTGACAATGGATCTAAGTCAAAGTTTATCGATGAATTTTCTGATTTGATCAATCAATTGGCAAAATGCAGCCTGTAACTGGTTATATTGGGTGATTTTAATTGTCATGTGGACAACATTAATGACAAGTTATCTCTTCAGTTTTGCGAGCTGTTACAAGTGCATTCTTTAATACCCCTACCCACAATCGAGGATATACTTTAGATCTTGTGATAACCCGACAAAAACATTTAATAAATAATTTATATCGGACCATTTTCCTATAATCCTGAATCTAAACATAAGGAAAGAACATGTTTGAAACGAGACAAATTTCTTTTCGAAAACTCAAATCGTTGAACGATGCTGAGCTGAGCTCTTCTCTGTGTTCTTCAAAACTAAAAAGCATATACCAAGTTAATGACGTCAATTCGAAAGCAGCATACTTTAACAAATGCGTTCAAAATATCATTGATGATCTTGCACCAATCCAAACTAAAACTTTTCGACTTCGACCTGGTGCTGTCTGGAGTGATTATTTGATTTATTTAAAGAAAAGTAACTACAAGTAATGACGGCAGCACATACGTGTTTTTTTTTCAGAACAGCAGTTAAAACATAGATATGACGTCACCCTTTGATGTTTTTAACCAGTATATAGGAGAATGTACGCTTTTCTTAAACAATCGTCTATTATTTATAAAACTGTCCATTATTTATTGAAAATAATGGACATGTCTACCAATAATAGACACTTATCTGAAAAATGAACATGTATTTTGGGATAATTTATTCTCTGAACAAATTAAATTACAGTACATGAAATTACTTTAAAACCTCATAGTTACCGAAATGTCACATGCCAGAATGTTGATTTCACATGTTTGTCTACATAAAGAATTCCACTTAAATCCGTCCGTTATATGTCACTTGTCCGTTTAATAGTACGTTCGGCACAAGATCGATGATACGTTTTTATACGCCCACATTTTCACGGTGGACACTCTACAGGTCATAACTTGAAATATAGGTATATATCCCATAGATCTCGGTTCCTTTCGATATTGGCTTGTATGGGACCACAACTTCATGGATTATGGCCCCTGATTGTATACACTAGATGTCACAATTTTTAGCCCATTTTGATGAAACTGAACATGTGTGTTTACAACCCGAAGATTTCGATTTCTTGCGATATTGGCGCATATCGGACCGAAACTTCCGGGATTATGGCCCCTGATTGAACAAAAAAACGTGTTTTCAGCGTGTGGAACCTATACAGGTCAAATATATCGCTGTTACACAATAATGACAGTTGAGTTCGAATTTCGTGAATTGGTTTGTGCCTTTGATCCTGTGTCCTGTCACTTATATCAGAGTATATATTAAATTTCAAATCAAAAATTTAGACGGCTAGTACCCTCCACATTAACCACAGTAGTAAGAATATTATTTATATCTAAATCATTTTCGTGAGCAGCCTTTCCATCACAACTTTAACGGCTAATATCCCCCATATCAAGAACATCACAATTTTTACGGCTATTATTTTCCATATCGGGTACATTACCAAATGTAATCAGTATCCAAATGCTTATCACATATATCACAATTTTTACGGCTATTATCTTCCATATCGAATACATTACCAAATGTAATCAGTATCCAAATGCTTATCACATATATTCTCATTATTAATATTTGTTTTCGATTGTGTTATAAACGTGTCGTCTCCATGTCGAATATTTTGGACTGTCTGTGTATGATTGCATTGTATGACTGGAGTGTTTTGTCACATGCATTCATGGGCATGTGCATGTTGTTTTAAGAATATATCCATTATTTTGTGGCTTGTTCTTTTAGAAAACTATCCATTATTTGTAACTCTATGGTGCTATGTTTTAAGTTTGATAATAGCCTCAGACTGTCCATTATGTAAATACATAATGGACAGTCTTCGGCCATTATCCATCACTGAATATCCGCTAGACCTCTAATATCACTGAGAAATATGACATCGGTGCGGGTTAATGAGCTCGCAATATTAATTTTTTTCCTTCTGCAAATTAAATTCTAGAACATTTCTTTGAAGTAATAGAAAATTAAATGAAGGCGTTTGAAGCATATCTAGTGTAAATGAGTATATAAAATGAGTAAAAGGCACCATTCTGCGTGGACCAGTTCACGTTATGTAATCATTGCACGAGCTATCGAGCCAATGATCGAGGCCATGTAATGTGACGTCACGCGTAGAAAGTATGTGCACTTTATAAAGGTTCAGTGAACTTATACAGAGGTATAACAAGAAGGCCTTTGCAATACTGTGAAACAGATTGAGTGATACCCTGACATTTTTGCCCAGTGCTTGTCCCATGGGTGTTTTTCAGGGAATCCAGTATTTTTCTAGTAAGATTGGGCGTCTCTCCTTTCCATACCAAATTTGCCATACTTCTTTTTGGAAATAACCACCCGATAAATACTTTCGTGGGAATGTATCTTTAAACTACTTTAGTTAAATGTTTAAACCAGTTCTTTATCAAAGTTTATCATGATGTTTAACAGACAGCTAATCTGTCATTAATTTGATGCCCGGGGTATCAGACATCAAACTAGTATATACTTATCATCTGTCACTTGAACAATGTCTACACAATAAATACTAAAACTGTACTAACGTCATATAATCATATACAATTCGAATTTCAACCGTTAAGCGTTCTTTTACTTGCACGCCAACGTGTACACAGCACCACTGACAATGGGAAACCACGCCGGAAAATCCCGGGGACAT